CTTGGGGTGAGATCATATCTACATTTACAGTCTATGTCTGCATTTCTCTCTATAAGGAAGGAGCCATCTTTGTGCAGGCATTATCCAGGATCGGCATTTACTTCTTATAGTGAGATGTTGGCTCAGAGATTATCTGTATGTAAATTCTGGTGTCTGTGGAGTTCACAAATGTCCAACACAGATCAGCCCCTGTTGCAGCCTCTCACCTTTAGACATACAATGCTGACGTCTGATCTTCTGTTGCTGTACACTGAGACATGTCCGGAATTTATGAACAGAAGTTTGGAATTTTACTGAATTATTCACTATAAGGTAAACATTACAATAACTATTCAAAATACGTGTTCCCTTATGTTGTAGGGTCAAAGGCAGAAGACCAAGCAAGACTACATTCTGAGATGACGGCTGCCCTCTTACCATGACTACGTCTGAGTTCAGGACAGTCCCACAACATTATAATGGGCCCAGGAAATGTTAACGTGTAAAGACTCGCCACCCGGCATCCCGATTAGGCGGGTGTCGGGCAGCATGTAAAGACTCGCCACCCAGCTTCCCGTTTAGCAGGGAAGCCGTCTCCATGCTCCCTCGTCACCTGGTGACAAAGAAGCATGGACCGGCTTTCTGGCCAATCAGAAAGCCAGGGAGCGGATAATGACTCGCTGTCCAGCTTCCTGACTGGTCAGCTTCCCGACCAGTCAGGAAGCCGGATGGCGAGTCATTACACGCTGCCCGGCTTCCTGATTAGCCGGGAAGCCGGGCAGCGTGCAAGGACTAGCCACCCGACTTCCCAATTAGCAGGGAAGCCATCTCCATGCTCCCTCATCACCAGGTGACGAAGAAGCATGGAGCCGGCTTCTGGCCAATCAGAAAGCCGGGGGGCGGGCAATGACTCGCCATCCGGCTTCCTGATTGGCCAGTTTCCGGGGGGCAGGTAATGACTGCTGCCCAGGTTCCTGATACAGAAAGCTCAGGTATGGGGCTAGGCATCGAAACATTTGGGCGAGTACGAGTACTTACCCCAATACTCGGCATCGGCACCAATAATAGTATCGGTATTGGTGCATCCCTAGTTAGAATGCACCATACCACGCAACGCACCTACCATGCCTGCTTTAATAGTGGGGGAGGTGCGTTGCGTGATATGGTGCATTCTAACGCAATTTTTTGTATGAATGTGCCTATGAAAATCTACCAGTGTATGGCCAGCTTAAGCACTGAACTTCTGGAGCTGTGAATCACAGTTCCATCACTCATAGTGTTGCCCGCACTCCGCCCTCCTCCTCCTCCCTCTATTCATAAAACATCTTGTATTCTTTTTACAGAGTACATAGCATTCTGTGATTGGACAAAAGACAAGGGGCTGATAAAAGGCAGTTACACTGCAATCATGCATGCAAGTGGTATTCTAGGGTGCCAACACATTAGGGCAACACACCTGCACTTCAGCATGCTGCAAACCACAGAAATGCACTACCATGCGTTGCATTCTCAAAAAAGAGTCATGTTTTGTCCATTTACTAGCAACTATGTAGTTCTGGTTTTTAAACATTATATGAATGTCATTGTACCTGACGTGAAGATTTACTTAAACTGCTTCTATACGACATATAGCACAACAGTTAGGCCCCTTTCATAAGGGACGGCGCCCTTTATGATCAGCCGGGAAATGTCAACAGATCTCCTTCTGATCAGAGCACTAGGGAACAGATTTTACTCTTGTGACATCCAAGTGTGTTCAGTTTTTCCCTCGTTTTTCTGCACAAATGCATTTTCAAGCTCACCTATAACCTTGTAAAGTAGAGATGACATCATAGCAGAGAGCAGAGACGTTGGAGGGATACAGTAGGCCCCAGTGGCGTCACAAGGGGGGTGCGGCCCACACCTGGGTGACACCATTGGAGGAGTGACACCAAAATGACTGACAGTCATGTGTGATGATGTCACACACGTGCGCGGTGACATCCCCGCGGGGTTACACTCGGTTACCGCTCCGGGTGTCACCCAGTCTCGGGACGCCCCCGGTAGGCCCCACCCACTACAGGCTGCTTGCAGAAAACTACAGGAGGGGGGCGGATACAAGACCAGTCGTCCTTCACAAGGGGAGGAAGCAGCAGTGGCTGCTCTTTATTACAGGAAGTTTCAGTCTGGATTACTACACAGATCTGGGAGAAATACACAAAGCTCACCAAGATTCAAGTCAGTATACACATGACTTCCATATCCTGGAGTTAAGCTTTAAATTACCCCTTTAATCATTTCATATTCCTGGGTGATGGGGGATTCCGGCTTCTTGGCGTTGCGTATGGCTTTATTTTTTTCACTCTTCCCTATTTGGTACAATAATGCAGGAGAAATAATTCCTTGGACAGGTGGGGGGACTGTGTCACTCTGCATTTTTTCCATCGGTCATATACAATAGCAGCCCACTCACATACACACAATGCTATAATCAGCTGCCGGATGGCTGGCACAGAATGCTAGCTAATGTAAGTCACCTTCT